AGAGAGAAAGAGGGAGAGGAAAAGTAAAAGGATTTGGGATCGTTTGGGGACTTTTGAGGTCAGAGGGAGAAAGATCGTAATATGAATAAAATACAATATTACAAAACTTTACACAAAGTTTTATCAGCCAATATTTTACAATATGCGACAGCACAGCTACGCGATTAATGTTTAATGTCTGTATGCGTTTTGTGTGTATGTCGTTGCGTAAGGCATAGCGTAAAAGTATATTCTTGTAGCACCTTAAATAGAGACGTGAGTTAGTAGAGAGATGTGTGTACGTGTCTATATGTGTGTGTGTGTGTTTGTGTGTATGTGTGATCATAGATCATATAAGAGAAATGATTTGAGCACATTGTGTACGCGGATCTTGCATCGCTCAGAAACTTCTCTTCAGCAATGCGGGCAGCGTATCATACCGAAAACGTCACACTTGGCGCACTTGAGGGCGACGAATTCCACCGTGAAGTCGTTGCGATGGACGGATCTCTTGCTGCCGTGGCAAACGGGACACAACAGCCGTTGGAAACCGCCGCAGTAGGTGCAAACAGCGCACGCATCCTTGCACTGAAACGCAAACGTTTTGCGACGTTGAATTAACCGTGTTACAAAATCATCAATAACTATAATCAGTTGTTTGTTGTGGCAGCCGAGTGTATGCCGGCGCTGTAACTTCCGATCGAAGCAGCTACACGCGCGGCGCGATTATTTGTGAGGAAATTCCCCACGTGCCACGTAAAGTATGATGGAATTGTATTCGAATTGGTTTGTGTTTGGACGGAAAATATTCTCTCGCAAATAGCGATCGCGATCCGATTCTGAACTGGAAGCCGACTCTCGATCGTACCTTTCTCCAACGTAGCGCGCGAATTACAGCGCGACTTCGCGGTCGCGGTGTGTGTACAAGCAGAACTTACTTATTAAAGTAAAGTCGCAAAACAAAACTTAATTAAAAATGTTCTTTTAGTTAATTTAAGTTTTATATTTCGTAATGTGGAAGCGAAGCGTTTTCACGTCGTTTTTACACTCGAGTAAACCAAACATTTAACTTCAAGTTAAATGTCACGTCTCTCTGCCATAAACACTGCAATATCATCTCTTAGAAATATTTCTCATCCGTGAAGTACTAAACTTGACAAGTTGTTAATATTTTTGCTAACGTGTTATCAGTTGCACGTTAAAAATATGCGTTAGATAAATCCCGCATGGACAACAACGTAACGAACACACCTTCCATCGAGCCTTACGTGGAAAAAAAAAAAAAAAAAACTGTAGTTTACACTTTCACTTTTGCGACTCCTAACGCCCGAACTGTAAATTGACTTTTTAGAGTACATAACGAGCTCGACCAGAGCTGGAAGAGTAATGATCACTCCCCCAGAGGTGAATATCAAACTTGGTTGTATCTAAATTCGAACGACATGTATACAAAAAAAAAAAAAAAAAAGATTTATCACGCCAAGTCGTCTGATGTATTATTAATTTCTTCGCTGGTCCGGTCATGTTAGCGTAACATAAAAAATGGTTTTTAGAAAGCTATCTATTATATTATATGATATATATCTCGCGTGTTACTTAAAACAAAAAATATATCTTACGTGTATTTTTATGTCCAGTTTGCAATGTTTATCACGTTACCGATGTATTTACGACGGCAACTATTAATTTACGTCGGAAGAGAGACTAAAGCTGTGTAGGCGTGGATTCAAGAAGTTCACATGTATAATGGCATCGTTTGTTTGTGGCATGCAAAAGTAACAATGGCCGGCGTAAACGTAAACGACCTTTACTTGCAGCAAGGTAAACTAGCGCGACACCGAAAATTTATGATCGCGATACAAAAGGAGACAGGAATTAAAGAAAGAGAGAGAGAGAGAGGGACACACGTGCTTCTAGATAAAAGTGAAAGGACCGTACAACCTTGCGTTCACAACTTGCTTATGTTGTACGTACACGTTTCATCATAGTCCCCTGATCTCTGTCTACGGAGTCCGTGTAAAATAAATGCGTCGCGAATAATACAACAATATCGTGTGATATATTTAAACGGTCTTGATTCTGTGACAACGCGTAAAAATCTCGCGCATCAAAATTATCGATCAATATTTATTTTATTCTTCCGAATGTACACCGATCGTTAGCAGTAGTTCGTTAAGAGCAGAACAGAAAAAAAGAATCAAACGAGCGTAGGCACATCCGCTCTCTTTTATATCAATCATTTAAAAATAAAACTGCGTCTGATTATATAAATTCTTCCATAAAATTACAAAAAAATTTTATTTCCGATGCAATTAATTCGAGTCTCGGAAGTGTTTGCAATTAGATCTCTAACACACATCGTGTCTAAATTTGATATCAAGAAATTGAAACTCCCGAGCGATGATTCGAATTTAAAATAAAGACGGAAGTTATGCGTCAGCATAAAACACAGTCGATTTCGTTTAATTGGCTACGTCGGATTACGAAACCTCGCATGAAATATCGTTAATACACGTTACGGTTAACGGATTATTAAAATTAATGCTCGACCCCGTATATGTATATGTGTATACGTACGTTGGTATATGCGCGTTTTGAAGTCGAAAGAAAGTGCGCCTGTGTGGCGTATGAAATGTTAAGTCGCGATCAATATAAACTCCGTTGATATAAATTATTACTTCCACGCTCGAGCGCGCATCCATGTTAAAATGCGGCTCAGGACGAAGAGAGGATACCAAGGATATACAGCTTTTATAATCTGACGACGACGTTTGGCAAATTCAACTCACCTGGTAAGGTTCTAATATGCGACGTAGTTCTCCCGACTCGTTAAGCCGCTCGACGGTGTCGATACCCTGTAACAAGCAGAAAAAAAAAAAAAAACGAACTGTGAAACGCAATCGTTTAATTTGCGGGACACCCGAACCCCCGAGTTCGAGTCGTGTTCAACACTTTCTTTCCGCCTCGTTTTATTTCACGCGTCGCTGCTACGCGACCGCGTGCCATAAACGCGGAACTCCTCCTTCGGTATGTTGCGCGCGCGCGCGTGCGCACGTCAAAAGTTTCTCTAAAATAAAAGAAAAAAAATCGCGACACACGAGTCTCTCTCCGAGACACACAACATTCTTTCGAGCCTGTCGTCGCAGCTCGCACAAAAGAATTTTATCACACTCGTCGGTCTTATCCTTACGTATATACGTATATATAGTACGTTAGACTATGCGCGTCTCCGTAACGATTGTACCATGCATTTTCATGTCATTGCTAATGAGGCTCTTAATGAGACACGCGATACTCGGGGTTTGCAGAAGTAACGTTTGCCTTCGCGCGATTCTACCCGAAGAGGAAATTTCGCTCCTGTCTCATTCTCCGGAAGACCGACTTCGTTGAATTACAAAAAAAAAAAAAAAAAAAAAAAAACTGATATCTCTCAGGAGATAACTCAACTTGCATTAACACCGGCGATGCGTCTTGCGCGGAAAATTTTCCACTCGATGGAATATAATGTCAGAACTTTGTAAATAAATACAGACGATAGTCTCCCGGACAAAACGGGACATTCCGAAGTTGCTTGCTCGCTCGCGCACGTCTTGTAATGAGATGTAACGTAATATGTACATACATAGTTTTATCGCGACTTTAATTACGACGAGTTATACTCCTTTCACCGAACGGTGAACGCGCGAACTGTCAAACGTGCGGATGAGCAAGAGTGAAAGCACCAAGACTCCGATAATATTCGAAGAATAAGTAAAAACAAAAATACACAAGGAGTGGCAATAGAAAGAAACAGTTTTGTCGATTTTCGGCGTCGATCGGTTGTTTCGTACAAGATAATTGCATGACGCGGTCAGATAGGAATGCAGTTAGGGTAGCTTTATGTACGTGTGTGTACACTTGTGTGCTAGAGACACCAACGACCGTAAGACGGTGTGTAACGCAGGCAATCTCACCTCTCGCGTTCTCTCCGACGGCCTTGGATCAAATAGCTTGACATTTCACTTACGCATATATATCTGCTCGGCCAGCTATCGGCTTGCTTGGAAGTAACTCCCAAGAAACTACGGATACCGCGACGGAGACGAGAAAATCGAGCCCGCGCGCGAATAAAGAGTATTCGCCCACGATAGATTGATTGCGCGACCGCGATCGATACGTAAATATTTATCAAATCAATTTCGCGCGCGTTCGATGCGATTACAAGAGAATTGTTTCTTACTGTCTCCAACTTTCGCGTCGTGTTTCCCGTGACAATCTCTCAGTCAGAGACGTAAAGAAGACTATGAAAGACGACACTTTACACCTGGGAATTTCACGTTGTAATAGAATACCTTGCCGTCTTCGTGCTCTTTGTCATTGTACACGAGTCTACAAGTTTTTTTTTTTTTTTTTTTTTTTTTTAAATAACTAACGAATTGTTATGTATTTTTATTTATTCACTTTCTATCGTTCCCCACTAATTAAATATTGCGCGACAATTTATTGTTAGTTTTTGTCGGTTTTATTTATTTATTTTTTTTTTCACACTATTTCCACATAAATTCGACACAATCCGGGAAGGCACGACTTCCCGTCCACGGGAATTCATTCAATTTCGTTCATCAGTCGACAGTTATCTTTGACATTTCACGTCATCTATCTCCCAACTTTCTCGCGACGTCGATGTCCCTGATTACGTAACGTGTTATCGGCCTTGTGCAAATTCTTCGCAAGGCGCAAAGAGGATGGAGATTCGAAAGGATTCTATAGATTACTCATATAACAAATGCTAATGTTCTGTAACTTTTCTTATATTCGAAGTTATTTTGTTTAAGAAGAAAACAAAGGGAAAGAAGAGAGAGAGATAGATAGATAGATCTATACATTACTGCAAGAACGAAATAACTTGGTTGATAAACGTCAAACGCAGGTAACGGGACGTTCACCACCAGCTGCTCACGTTTTATTATCCAACCTTTTATATAAACCTTTTACATTTATTTTACATATAGTTTAAAAATGACAAAAAAATACAATATTTTTATGACAATTACGCGTTTTACTTTACTTTAGTAAAGTAAATACATATATATGTATATATACATATATATATATTTTTTTTTTTCAAAATACTTCTTTTTAATACGTGATTTAATGGGCAATTTTAAACCAAGGTGTGCAATAAATAACAGTTGCTCTTGATCAAACGTTTCGATTTTTTTAAAAATCATCTTCAATGAATTTAACTTTGTTAAAACAATCCCTTCTGACAGGAAAGTCTACTGTGCAGTTAAGATAAAGTTATTAGAAGTAAAAAAATAAATCAGAAAATGTCAAACGTCGGTTATTTATTTTTTTTTGTAAGATTAAAATTGGTCAAGATGTTGTCTTGAGTGTTTCGTCTGTACTGTTACACAGTACAGACGTTGTTTTAACGAAGTTAAATTTACTGAGGATGACTTAAAATAAAGTCGAAACGTTTGGATTGATCACGAGCAAACTGTTATTTATCACACAACATCTCGCTATCGGCTCAAAATTGTTCGTTAAATCACATATTTGTGGAAATATTTTATTTGATTAAATTAAATAAAATTAGATATGTTTAAAATAAAAATGTATGTGTTTAATGTAATGTGATATAATTTACAGCGATTATAAAGTGTTCGCGATAGTCGAGTTCGAAGCGTGCAATTTCTACAGACGTTTTATCTCGTCAACGGATGCGAACCTTTTCCTCGCTCTCAGCATTATTCGATAATAAATTGTCAGTTATGTTTTCCTCGCTTGAATTTGACCCGTCAACAGACAATAAATACGTTGATCAAGAAAAGAGAAATATTTGTCATAATGTTTGTCAGAAGAGTCGCGCAAAATATATTTCGCTGATGAACTTACAACGTATTTAGAGAATAAATTCAGCTTAAATACGAAAAGATTGAACGAAAAAATATAATTCTACAATATACATGTGTATAATTTCGATTTCTACATATTGGATTTTTCATACGCGAAACAGAAGATCTTTGTCATTTATACTTAAGTTTAGTTTTTTAATTATTTTCCTGCGCGATTGTGTTCAACGTATATTGCGTGATTGAGAACGTTACGTACCCCGATGTGCTGGCCATCGACGAAAAGCTGCGGCAACGTTAGAACTTCCAAATTAATCCGATCTTTAAGTTCGGTTTGTAAATCCGTGTCACGGAATAAATCCGCCTCATCATATTTGACCATATTCGTCCACAGTATTTGCTTCATCTTCATACAGTTAGTGAAGGTCTCCCGCACGATGCCCAACGACGTCATATAAAGCACCACTTTGCCCTTTTCTCTTTCCACGTAAGCCTGAAATAAAATTCAATAATATTTTATCAACACACACACACACACAAATGTAATAAAACTTCTCGTCAAACGTGATGGGAAAAAAACACGTTTCTGAAATTCTTCCAAAAAAAAAGAAAAAAAAACGCAAGCATAATACGCGCGCTCGACGGGGTACACCACTAATGAAATAACAAAGCTCGCTCGAAAGTGACGCGAAGCTCGTGCCTTTCCCTTTATCGGACGATCGATTCTTGGATAAACACGAGCGACAATTTTCGCGCGGAAGAGAGTGCTCTCTTTACGGTTCGACGATTCAATCAGCAGTTCGAACTTCGATTCTTGCTCAGTAATGCGTGCCTTCGTCGGTTGTTTCTTTCATACAATCGATTTCATCGGCACGTGCATAACCAGCGAACTGGCTGTTGCGCATAGAAAACGTCGCTCGGTGATTCACAAAGCGATTGACTAAAACAGTTCGGTAAACTGTCGAAAAGCTTGAAAAAAAAGTAAACGCATTTTTATCGCGCACCGAAACAATTTCCGCAGTAAAAACCGTTTCCATTTCCTTAACTTTTTTGCATACAAGACGTGAGTTTCCCAGATCCACTCAAAACTTTCAAATCGGCGTGTTTCTAGTAAAAAAATTAGTTTTATTTTTAAGCGCTTGTATATCTTCGACTACTAGAGACTTTTTCACTTTGTTTTTTTTTCTTTGTCAACGCAGAATCCTTTGAACTTTCGATTCAAGAAAACAAAGATGAAAAAAAAAATATTGATTGTTCGCGGAGATGTTTGATTTTAAAAGTCGCGTGGGTCTCACAGGACCCGGTCTGTAGATTACAATAATAGTTGTCATTTTTGGAGTCCTGTATGCGGAAAGGTTAATTATTTCACCAATTTGTCATTCTTGCTAAAATGTCACAATTTCTTACGACACGTATAATGCCATGTAAGTAAATTGTCCTCTGAAAACGGATGCAATTTGTAAATTTGTAAAAGACAAATCTTTCATCTCTCTCTCTCTCTCTCTCTCTCTCTCTCTCTCTCTCTCTCTCTCTCTCTCAGATGCAATCTTCATGGTATTCTAGTTGCTTTTTGAATTACCTGCTCTTCCTCTCTTCTCTTGTAATGTCTAATATACTTCCCGGAGCTAAATTACATAACGTCGTTTAGGCAGCCTTCGCTATCCATGAGATAGACGGAAAAGAAAGAAGAAGAGACAGTGGTAAGTGGCCTACGAGATGTACAGAAAGAAGAGGAAGGAGAAACGATTACGCTAAATCAGCTTTCACCGCGCAAAAAATGACTAAGGTAATTCGAGTGTCGCGCATAATGCCAATAACAATTCGTCGATTTCTATTAAGAATTTTACATAATCGATTTTGGTAAGCGCGTTCGCGTGATACACATCAGCAAAATTACGTAATTTTATTTTTGCTGAGACTCACAAAGCAAGCTTTCTTTTCATCTGTTTTTTTTTTTTTTGCAGTAAATACGTGTGCGAGTACGTCAAATAAATTGCGTTATATAAACTTTATCAACTCCCTTTATTAGCGTTACTCGCCCTCGTAAAATCTCGGGGAGCTGCCATTTCCTGCGCCTAAGGCAGACAACGTACGATACGTGTTTATGTCCCGTAACGAGAAATATTTCGGTAAAAAGAAACGTTCTTTTCGAAACGGCGCGACCGTAATGTTCCACGTTTTATGTGACACACCACACGTACGAGCGAACCATTTGCAAAGAAATAGATGTTTTCGAGTTAACGAAACGAATTTACGAACGTGTAAAACATAGGTATGCGATATATTTCGGACATCTCGCAAATTTATCACATATATTCGGTGATTTCGATTCGCAACGAGTTTGATGAAATTTTCGTCGCGATATGATCATTCCGCGCGATTAAATATAATGCAGAAACGATCGCGCGGCGCGCGCGATCTGTATTACAGATCGCCACGTGTTCGCGCGGCACGAACTGCTAATGAATGTGTGTTTCAACCGGGAAAACCGGACTCGTCGTTGTATACCAGGTGCATGATCCGCACGATAGAGAGAAGCAACGCTATCATTGTGAAGGTATGCGAGCGCGGTAAGATCTCCGCGCGACTAACCATTACAAACTTTTTGCTAACCTACTTGTGCCTCCGACCGATACCCGTTACCCTACGCAAATGACACGTGCAATAATTGCCTTACGATCGTAATTACATGCTATCGTGTGAAAAAGACAGAGCCACACGCGAACCAGATGGCCTATAAGGTGAAGTGTCGTACGCTTCGCGAGCCGGAGAATTGACGGAGAGAATTACAAAACACGCACACACACACTTTCTGTACACACAGAGAAATTATGTATTCACAAAGCTCACACTTCCCGAAAGTTTACAGAGTTTTAATTAGAATAAAAATTTATTATATCGTTTTCAACACACACGATATCGTCGAAAGTTGGTTTTCATTTACGATTTCATGATTCACTTTGTGCGTCAGTGTATTATTATAATAGTATTCAATAATACGGTTATAATTTCTCATTTGAATAACAATTTCTCTTCGTATCTCTCTATTGTGAATTTCACGAAAAATAAAAGAGAGAAAAGTGAAATGGCCTCGACGTGTCCTTCCCTTTCCGACGATCATGAATAAATTCGTTCTAATAGATTTTGCGATACGCAGAAAAAAGTTTTAACAAGGTTTTTTATTCCAATACTTAATTTAGGAAAAAAAAAAAAAAAAACGACATGCATGCGCGATATATTTTTCTTGACCGTATGTCATTGTAACGTGTAAAATGCGTCGGTGATTTTGTTAACTTTGTTGTTGTAAACAAATCAACAATTGCATTTGTTTCGGAAGAATGACGGAGGTTCGACGACAGGTTTGATATTTGCTTTTTCTTGTATTTTATCTGTGGGGCATCGAGAATGCACACTTTTTCTCGTACACACGTAATAGAGACGAGAATGGGATATGTGCTTGCAAGAAAATGATTTATTCGTTGCGCCAGTTTCTTGTAATAAATCTTTTCTTTTGTGTGTGCGAAGGAGTGGTATTTGTGTGTGTTAAATTTTTTTGCGCGTCGCGACTATCCCGCGTTTATTCACGCTCGGCAGATCTTACGATCCAGTAGATACATGTCTCTTCGAAACGGTACAGTTACGATAAAAGACGCGTTATAAGTTTGCAAAACCGCATTGTGGCGGCGAACATTGAAACAAAAAAAAAAAAAAACGAAGTGAAAAGAAAGAGAAAAAGAGAGATTATTAAGATTATTAATAATCTTTTCTTTTCTCGGAATATATTGCCAAGTTTTGCGGAAAGAGTTCCGGGCTTTGAAAACTTTTTCCCGCTAAAAAAAAACGAACGAAGTTTAAGCTGAGACGAGTGAAATCTTGAAATTGTGAAAAAAATATCGAGGATTTGTGTGAAAAAGCAATTAACTCATAAGCTCGTTTCAAGAAAATCCAATTGTTATACAGTTTTGTATTGTTTTTTTTTGAAGTTTGTTAATTAATATTACAACAACTTCACAACACACACACACACACACAATGGAGAAAGAGAGAACATAATTTAATATAATTTCAAGATTGATCCTAGATCGCATTATCGTACGTGATTATTCATACGCGGTTAATTAAAAGCTCATAACATCACTGTGTTGCTCTCGTGTTTAGATTAATGCGCTTCAATTTCACAGCGATATAATACAGAACAGCTTGGTAGTATGCTTACTGCGTTCTCGAATACAAGGCAATTTCACAGGCGTTTAATGAAAGTTGCATCCGTTGCCGTACGTGTTACATACAAAACGAAGGCACGCTTTGAATCAGCGATTAATTGACGTAGAATGACTTCGGCGCTGGTAATATAGACAAATCGAGTCGTCGAAGGCGATTTCTCCGTAACTGGAATAATGTTACAAGAGGATCGGGTCGCCGACTGACCGGAATTTAACGTGTTGAGATTTGTTGCGATAAATAGGAAATTAATACGTACGTGTCGCGCACGAGCAACGAACTTCAATCGACACCTGGTAGCTTATTTCACGTGATCGAGAGAGAAAGAGAGAGAGAAAGAGAGAGAAATGTTTTCTCATAAGAGACAGTCGAACGAAGCGTAGAATTAAGTCAATGAAGTTACCGCTACAACATCAAAACCATGCGCCAGAACCAATAATAATGTAAAAAAAAAAACGGAAGCAAATAATTGTGTCAGGTGTCTGTCAACTGATGAATTCGAATCTGATCTCTCCGTGTTTACACAGCGATGTGTTTTTGCGACTGAGAACTAAACGACGTAACGACGAACAAATCGACACAATAGCGAGTAACTAACAATCGACGGTAGCCGTTCAATGCGATTTGGTGTCTAGTAGGAGGCGTAATGGAAATCGCTCGCGCGCGTACTCTATTATTTCTGTAATAATAGTCTCGTGGTGCAACACACACGACTTTCACGACGCGTTGTGCGCGAGAACGAGATTTTGAGCTCGAAATCGAAATCGGGGGTGGAGAAACCGAAAAGAAAATAGAGTCGCGCGCGGTGATGTATAGGGATACGTGCAATACACGTTTTCAGGTAGACAAAATTACGACGGCGCAATTTCTTCGAGTTGTTTCTCACGTGCAAGCGCCGTACGATTGCACAAGACGATTGGTATGCTCGCGAAGACAAGCGATCAACATTGACGCAGCGTATTGACCAGACGGTCGTAGCAAAAAAGGTGAAAGCTTTACATGCACCTGTGTGATACCTAAGCGAATCGCCGCCGTCGAGGTCCTCGGCAGATATGATCCTGTTGGCAAAAGACAAACACTTTCACGCATGCATTAGCTTGGCGCGCAAAGAAGACACGCTCGAATGTACACACACACGCACGCACACTCGCGCGCGCGCGATTTTAGGTCGCTTCTTTTGCTTTTGTTTTTTTTTTTTTTTTTTGTTTTTTTTTTATCTCGGGTGTCTCGTTTCACGTGTGCGTCCACCTTCGCGATTGCGTAATCGCAAGT